GGAAGTAGATCATCCCGCTGGTGCTCTTACGATCATCAACGTCACCAGCCATGTCACTGTCACTGTAGCTGACCAGCTCAAGCTTCGTCTTTTTTTTCCCTGCGCTGTATCTCACACCCCAGCCTTTTGTTCCAGCCACATAGCGCAGGATACGCTTGACAGCCACAAGATGCTCCTCTCGAGGTGCTTCCATGAATCTACTCACATATCCAACTAAGTAAGCAAGGTCAGGGCGTGTGTTTACCAGATAGCGCAGGCTCCCGACAATACTGCAGTAATTGGTGGCATCGACTGTCATCGTAGTATTGACCTTCCTTAGCTGAAGCTGGGCCTCCATTGGCGTCCTTGTAGGGTTACTGTCCGCAAGCCCAATTGTGTCCAGCAGCTTCTTTGCGTACGCACTTTGGCAGATGATGATGCTAGTAGTACTCTGTTGCACTTTGATGCCAAGGTAGTAGTTGAGTACGCCGAGATCGCTCATCTTGAAATTCTTTGATATCTCCCTCTTGAACCTTCTGAGGAATTCCATGTCGCCTCCAGTGATTATGAGATCGTCGACGTACACTCCCACAATTAGTCGCTGCTCGTCGTGGCCGTGAAAATGCATGCCATGCTCAGAGGCACAACGCTCAAACTTCAGTGACAGTAGGGTACTGTTGAGCTTCGCGTTCCAGGCTTGTGGTGCTTGTCGAAGATCGTAGAGTGCCTTGTGCAGGCGCAATACCTTACCTGAATTGTTGTTGTCCAGGAAGCCAGGTGGTTGTCGGACGTAGACAGTCTCTTTCAGTTCTCCGTTAAGGAAAGCGGATTTCACGTCCATGTGGTGGACCTCCCAAGAGCAATGTGCCGCGAATGCTAGCAAAAGCCGGACGGATTCTAACCTTGCCACCGGCACAAATACCTCTTCGAAGTTCACACCTTGTTTCTGGACGTAGCCGTTCACCACTAGACGGGCCTTGTGCTTCAGCAAATCTCTATCCTTTTACTTTTCATTATTTTTCCTTCGAAGAAATCTTCCTTCGGCCAGTTTTTTCGTCGACACTTTCCTCCCAATTGCCAGAGTCAACAAATCGGATACCGGACGGACAATGCATGACACCGTATGACTGTTCACCAAAATCATGTCTATGCCTGGAAGATTGGAAATGACTCAAAATGTACTATGGGGGAACCATGGTGTTAGCCCTCCACCACCCCTAGGTCTTGTGGCCTAAGTGAGCTACCTTGTGGCACATACGTCTGTCACAGTGTGGGTGAGCGTGCCGAGACAAGTATCTCGAGCGACTTCCTTTGAATGGGTTTTTGAAGAACAATACCAGACGACAAGGGTGTGCCAGTATTGCGCCGTAGCCCGCGTGTTGGAGGTTGCTACATACACCCGCTATCCAGTACGGTATTCGTAAATGACTCGCCATGGGCATGGGAGGGCCAATGCCTCTGTAGAACTCGGATGGATAGATGTTCGGGAAGTCCCAATGAGATGAAAGACACGTGAGTCCATTCTCGATGGCATGACCGAGTGAGTTATGATGGCCGACGACATCCCAAGACTCGGGATGGCGTCAAGACATATGAACCTTGTCGATGGGGATCGAGATGACATGATGAGATGCGACTTTGCATTGAGTGACCTTGGCCCGAGCAGAGGCAAGGTCGAGCTGTATGACTTGCCTAGTGTAGAGGTAAGTCAGATGTGTCGCAGACGATTGAACATGCACACGCAGGTGACGTGTGTGGTTGAATAAGCTTGGATTTCGCACAAACGATGTTTGATTGGCAAGACAAATCTTGCCTAATGTCCGACGAAGTCACAAAGCCAGGGCGAAAAATATATATGGGGCTTAATTCCCCTTAAGGCTAGTCCTGAGCGTGTCAAGATCACGATGTCGCATGGAAAAAAATGTAGGACCGTAACAGTCATAACATGATGAACCCTTCCTATTGTCCTGACAAGCATCAAACTGCTTGACGAAATCAAGATGATTTTGGCTTCCATTTTAAGCGAGGTCTTGCACTTAACGAACCAACGTTCATGGCCATCCTTGTGGTTGAAACTGAAGAAACAACTGAATTTATTCTCGTAGAAATACAACGCGTACTAGACGAGTACCGCGAAGTAATGCAAGAGATTCTATCAAAGACCTTACCACCTCTTCAGGGCATAGACCACGAGATCGGACTGATGCCTAGGTCGAAACCCCCAGCAAAGAATGCCTACAGAATGGCTCCACCTGAGTTAGCGGAGCTATGAAAGCAATTGGATGAACTACTTATCGCTAGGTTTATCAGACTTGCGAAAGCTCCCTATGGAGCCCCGGTGTTATTTCAAAAGAAGAAGGACGGGAGTCTTCGCCTATGCATAGACTACCACGCCCTAAGCAAGATCATTGTCAGAAATAAGTACCCTCTACCCATCATTACAGACTCGTTAAATTGACTACATGGTGAGAAGTAATTCTTAAAACTCGACTCAAGGTCGGGATACTATTAGTTCAGATTGTTGAGGGAGATGAACACAAAATTACTTGCGTCACTAGATATGAGACCTTTGAATTCCTAGTCATGCCTTTTGGTCTGACTAATGCCCCTGCCATTCTTCACATTAATGAACCAAGTTTTCCACGAGTACCTCGATAAATTTGTTGTAGTTTACTTGGACGACATAGTGGTTTAAAGCTCCACCATGAAAGAGCAACAACACCACCTCTGTTTAATTTTTGAAAAGCTAAGAGAACACCAATTATATGTGAAGAGGGAAAAATGCGCGTTCGCGCAACAACAAAAACTTTCTTGGACATGTAATAGAAGCAGACAGGGTAGGTATGAAAGATGAGAAAGTAAAAACCATCAAGGATTGGAAGACCCCTCTTCAGTGATAGAAATGCGCTCCTTCCTTGGGTTAGCAAACTATTATCGACGGTTTGTCGAAGGAAGGGAAACAAGTGGAGTTGGACTCCACGTTGTCAAGAAGCCTTTTACAACTTAAAGAACGCCATGATGGAAGGACCAATTTTAGGGATTGCCGACGTGACGAAACCTTTTGAAGTCGAAACAGATGCGTCAGACTTCGCCCTAGGAGGTGTCCTACTACAAGAGGGACACCCCATTGCATATGAGAGTTGGAAGCTAAATGAGGAAGAAAGAAGGTATGCAGTATCTGAGAAGGAAATGCTGGCAGTAGTCTACTGTTTACGAGCTTGGAGGCAGTAGAGGCAGTACCTCCTCGGAGCCAAGTTTGAGTCAAGACAGACAATAGTTCCATATGCCACTTTGGCAAGAATGTGTGGCCGAATTTGACTTTTAGTTCGAACACAGACCAAGTAAAGAAAATTAAGCTGTAGATGCCTTAAGTTGGAAGAGTGAACATGTAAACTTGTGCATGTTAGCTCACCTACAAGCAAGTTGAGTGGAACGATACGAGAAAGCAATGAAGAACACCTAGTAAAAGACCTGACCGCCCATGCCATCATCCAACTAGCTAGAGAGGGGAAGACTCTCCAGTTTTGGGTTGAGGATAACTTACTCTTCACCAATGAAAATCGTTTGTACGTTCCACATTCAGGGAATCTAAGTAGACCCCTGCTTAAAGAATGTCACGACACACCATGGACAGGCCACAATGGGTGGCAGAGAACCTATGCCCTCCTAAAAAGGGGGTACACTATTGACCGAACCTCCGCGACGATATGACATAGTTCACAAAAACTTGTCTTATCTGCCAACAAGATAAGGTTGAACAAAACAAAATTGTGGAACTACTAGAACTTCTACTAGTCCCTTCTCGACCGTGGGAAAAGTGTTTCTCTAGATTTTATCACACACCGTCCCAAGGTAGAAGAAATGGAGTCCATCTTGGTCATCGTCGACAGGTTCTCAAAATATGCTACATTTGTCCCAACTCCCAAGTCATGCTCTACTGTAACGACCACACAACTATTATTTCAACACATAGTTAAGTTGTGGGGCATTCCCACTTAGCATTGTCAACGACCGTGATCCGAGATTCATAGAGACCTAAGCGCTTGTGGATGTATATAATAAAATGATGTAAAATTCACAAGAATAAGTGCAAGTATACATTATCACAAGTAGCAAGTAATAAGTAAATTATCGATTCTACATGGAACCTATCTTTTTGGTTAATTTTATCGCTGGAAATGAGGTGAGTTTTTCGGTAACATTCAAATAGGTGTTGGTGATTTTAACTACTTAAACAAAACTAAAACAAAGTGTCACTGCTGTCGAAAAACAGAAAATATGAGAAAATCAACTATAATGAGGAAGGTTCGACTAAGAGAGATTAAATAGATAAGTTGTTGAGTTTTGTGGTAGATTTTAGTTCCTTTTAATAGATTATCAAGCTCACTTCCGAGGGTCATGAATGGTGATTATTTTCATAATCGTTGTAATTTATATTAACAAGGCTTTAGGAGAAGAATTATTCCTAACCCTTCTATTACCCTTCAAGTCTCCTTGCTATGGAACTAGAGTATAAAGAGGATTTCATTGCTCCCTCTCTTCTCCCGAATAAGAGAACAACTATGCATGTAAAGTAGCTAATTAAACACACATGTAAATCATTAACAACAACTCTTTAATAAACTAAAATCATAACGTCAACATACTTAAACTATATAAAACTCTCTCGCTTCCCCTGTAAAGTTTAGCTCTCCATACAAACTGAATTAAACAGAGGAATCCGCATCTCAATCATGTAAAATTGATGGAATAAGAAAAGAGAATAATGAAATAGAGAGTTATCCCGGTTTGTTGTCGTTCGTCAATGAAAGTTCCCTTCTCTTAAGCTCTCACGTCCACCTCTTTGCTCTAATCAATCCTTGTTGGTCTCTTTTTGCTTCTGTTGTCATCAGCTGCTGGATTAGGGTTTTTTTCTTCTTCTCTGGTTTCACAACATGGTGCAGCTGCTGTGTAATTTGATTTTTCTCCTAAAGTGTGACCCTCTCCTCTTGGTCTTCTTTTTCCTTTTATATTGAGCATGGGTTCCCTTTGAGGTTGAAAAGGAATAAGATGTCCACATATGATGTTTCTCATTGGGTAGTCAATGACCCACTTGGACGGCTGATGTGAATTTAAAATTTCTATGTCATTCCTCATTTATTTCTAGATTTGCTACTCCCTCATGGTTCAACGTAAATGTCTGAAATTTACCACATAACTCAATTAAATGTACAATTAAGATCGATTTATGCCAAATCATTTTTTTTTCATGTTGGACGGCAATAAACAATTTCATGCTCACTAAGTAGAATAAATGGGGTAATAAATGAGAAAATTGTGAATAAAAGGGCAATATTAAATACAAAAAGACTTGATATGACTCTACTTTTAGAGAGTTATCAAGATCTTTTGGACTGGGTTGTTCAAGCTATTAGGGTCGAGCCTAAACGTCTCTTCGAGTTATCACCCCCAAACTGACAGACAAACTAAAGGTTCAACAGTATGCTTGAGGAGTTCTTACGTCATTTCAACGACGAGCAACAGGAAAAACTCCTTTTGAAAAAGTATGTGGTAGACAGCCACTCATACCCCATGTTAATGACCACCATTATGCAGGGAGGAGGCCCTAAGCGTACAACTTCACCAAAGAGTGGAGCAAGCCTCTAAAATAGCACGAGCGTACTTGGAGAAAGCCTCACGAATAATGAAAAAGTGGCCAGATCAAAAATGAAGATCATTAGAGTTCCAGGGGGGTGACCAAGTTATGATCAAGCTGAGATCAGAAAAATTTAGATTCCCTGGGAATAGGGACCAGCGACTAGTGCGAAGATATGAAGGACCAATTGAAGTCATAGAGAAAGTCGGAAGAACTTCATATCGTCTCCAACTACCTACATGGATGAAAATTCACCCTGTCATCCATGAAAGTAACCTAAAACCGTATCATCCAAAAGACGACGATCATCAACGAAACAAGTGACACAACCTCCAGTTATGATGAAGGGCTCTAGTAAAAAGAAAGTAGAGGAGATTTTGGCCGAGCAAACCCCTCGCAAACCAAAGTGCAACCTACAAGAATTTTTAGTTAAGTGGAAAGGACTTCCAGAAGAAGAAATCAGCTGGGAATGTGCCAACGACTTGAAGACAGCCGCACCTCAGATTGTAGAGTTTGAAGAAATGAGACGATTAACAGAGTTTGAAGAGAAGAAGAAATCAGCTAGGAACGTGCCAACGTCAACCAATTAAGTGAGGGAGGTGTTAGGCTATGGAGTCTGCTCTTTTATTTATAGCTTGGTCAACTGGTATATCCGTTAAAGCTATATTTCGTAAAGTTATATCCGGTAAAGCTATATATGGTAAATAGCTATATATAGTAGATGGTTAAATCTGGTAAAGCTATATATAGTAGATGGTTAAATCTGGTAAAGCCATGTATAGTAAACTAAACTATATATATATCAGGTCCGGTAGTGCTTAGAAAATGTACTTTATGTATTCGTAATTCTCTCTTATTATCCATACGTGAGTATTCTCTGTAATTCTCTCTTATTGTACATACGTGAAGTCATCAATAAAAAAAAAAAAATCCTTTTAGCCAAAGTTCTCCTTGTACTTTTCTCTATCTTGTTCTTTGTGTTCATCTAGATTAAGCGTGTGCGTTGTTGTGCGACTCTAACAGGAGGATGTCACGGTCATGCTTGTCCAAGGCGTGTTGCCTATGGCCATTTGCCCGTGACAAGCCAAAACCTTTGCCTTGTAATACTTTACCGCTTTGTTTTACTGCTTTCATGTTGTATTATTTCCTTCTGTTTCCTTTAAGAGCATGACGTTTCGGCGAGATCATGGATACGCCTGGTAGACATGAATTACCTCAAAATGTACTAGAGGAGGATGCGACTAGTTGCCAAATTCTCCCTACTTGAAAAGTTATATACTGTTAAGCCGTTGTTGTTGCCTTATTGCTTGCATGTTATATCACCTCTCTCTCTCTCTCTCTCTCTCAAAACTCTTTGGAACTCTTTTTCCAAAACCTTTCTCCCCCGCTTTCTAAAATCTTCTCTTGAAATTGGGACCCGAGTTTGTATACACGTTGCCCAACCGTAGGCAATGTAATCTAAAGTTGGCTTGACTCATTCAATGCTGAGAGTGAGTGTCGCACAATCGCCAAATCCGCTGCCTAGAAACCGCGATTATGACACATAGAATCCCACCTAGAAGAGGAAAACATGGTCCTCCAAAAGGATTGCGTGGTGAGAGGTTATGGGTCATATTACTTAGCATTCTTAAGTTTCTGTGTCTGAGGACGTTGGGTCTTTATCCTTGAGTGGTACCTAACATTCTTCTTACCTTAGTAGTTGTAGAGCTTGTGTGGTATTGTTCTTGATTCTCAATCTTGTATGTTTCTAAGGTTCATGATTCCTTGAGGCATAAGATTTAACATGCATCCATAGACATATGAACTCATCATAATAACAATCATGAGTTATTCTAGAAAGCCATAGAGTCATAATGGATTCTTTTGAGAGTTCTAGAAGAGTCGAGTCTTGAGATGTTTCCTTTAGGTATTTCTTGGGTCCTAACTTGATTTAGGTTCCAAACTTGCTCTAATCAACTTGAAATCTCATACATTTCTTCATGCCCTTAAGAATAGGACTTATAGAAAGTAGTAAGTCATTTGGAGCACATATAGAACTTGAAATATCATAAGTAGTCCTAGGGGCATTTTTGTCATTCTATCCCCAATTCTTGGTTTTTCTACTTAACGTGCTCCAATGGCTTTAGAACTTCGTAATATCAATAAACATCATAAAATAAGATATACTACTGAGTTTTATAACATTTAAAGGTCATCTAGGTCATGAATCAAAGGTAAATTACCTTAGGGGGATTATGGTCTTTTTATACCATTTCTTAGTTTACCTACCTAACCTTATCCAATGAACAACAAAGTTAATATATAATCTCAAAATGGTATAATATATTCAGCATTATAATTTCATTGGCAGAAGAGTTTATTTAGTGGATTATTTTAACGTTACAAAAATATTAAGCAATTTGATCAGTTCAGGGCCTTAACCCTCGTTTCTTTGTGTTTTTATTTCATATATCCTTAACTCATAATTTTTTTTAAGGTTCATACAGAAATCGAAGCAATTCCTACAAGTATTTCTTAAGAAAAGTTCAAGGTGGCTACTTACCTCGTCACCAACCTTCAGAATCTTTGTTCTCAAGCTTCTAGTATCCGAATTACCTCAAATTTTCTTCCACATATTTTTTATTGTGTCTATTTTCTGGAACCATAAAATTTTTCATGAGAACCAATCTAGACGGGGTTAAAATTAAGAAAAACGAGTGAAGGGCGAATTTAGGATAACATGACTCGTTCAATTGAACCGGCCACGTCTTCCTCTAGACAAGAAGAAGACGCGCGTTTCTACATACACTGCCATCTGAAACTCGACCTCCATAGCTCCTTTTACATTCTTTCTTTGCTAGATTTCTTTCTAAAACTTAAAGATGGTGTTACAAGGAAGAGCTAGGAATTGGTTTCATACCTTCTCGTGGATTGTAGCATAAGATATTCGCCTCCAAAGTTTGTCCAAAAACTGATTTCTCGTTGGAGCTGAAACATTAGATTTCTTATTGGGTAATCAATTCTAGGGGTTTTCAAGACTCGATTTCTTCATGGAACCTCTTCCTCTTTCTTTCCTCAAGTTAAAGAAATTAATTTGGAAGAACGACTTTGAGTGTGGGACCTTAATTTCCAGAAATTGTTCTCAGTATGCAAGTTACTCGAAACACTAGATTTTTATTCTCTTGGGTAGCTCTTTCTACGACGTTTCATGTAATGACCCAAAATTTTCTACTTAATTTAAGATTGCTACTGTATACGTACCATAAACATTGAATGAGGAAGAATTCATTTAAATTCCATAAAACATAATCTTTATCTTAAAACACAGCCATGGACTTACGTGTTTTGAAAACATCTTTAAAACGACACAACAAAAGACTAAATAAAATAAATAAGCGTTTAAGTTAAAAACATCTTATTCTAGCCTCAGTCTAATCAAATAAATACCACTATCCTAGGCATGTGTCATGGTCTCGAGTTGCGATGTCGTCGTCAGTCGTACAGGAATGCCTTGCCTTAACCTAAAAAATGTAGTAGCACATGGCTTGAGTATTTAAAGAAATACTCAGTGACCCCACTATTATGGTTAAATGCAACAATCACATGCAATGAGATGATGAGATCTATCTTTCATTCTGTTTTCCCTACGGTGCTGTCCTAACTGGTAATTTTGAACGTGTACCATATACTCTACACACAGCCCATACGTGCGAGTATGGGCTCACCAGCTAGTTCGCACACCGCTAGGCCACTTTCCTTATCCGGTGGGCATATTCTAGGAGCCCCTTAGGCCGAACACCTGCTAGAATTAGTAACCATCATGGCAGCACAATGCAAAGCACAATAATCGTTATCCTGCCATTGGATGTATGCGTCCATACCCTTGTGATCGGCTAGGGGTATCCCCCAAATGCATGAGCACACATAATGCATGAGGTCCCAAAATTTTTCCATTTTCATTATCCTTTAATACAATCTCACTACCATTATGTACATATCATATCATCTTTCACATCGCTTCTGTAATAGCCCAAAAATAAATAAACAAATAAAAAAATTATAAAAAAATAGTTAAAATAATAATAATAATAATTAATTAATTAAAATTAAAAAAAAAAAAAAAAAAAAAAAAACCTTTCCCTACTTCTCTCCACTAACCTCTCATCCCTTCCCACAATTATCTCTCCTCAACCCATACTATAATTGTCAGATTTACTTGATTAAAAAAAAAATGAGAATAGCCTTTAGCTAGTTGAGATTCATCATAGATTTATGTGAAGATAGATCTTATCAACTATATTAAATCTTCATTTTCTTTTATCTTATTTTTTTAGAAACAAAAACTAATTATAGTTAGATCTTCATTGAATTATTAAAATGGTCTAGGTTTGAGTTAGAAACTAAATGTCAGAAACTAAATGTCAATCATTTATACAATTCTAGTAAATCACATTAGATTAGTATTATTATATTAAATTTTTATGAGTAGCCAACGGAATAGACTAAGGATAGAATGGCCAACAAAACTACTGAATAGTAAACATGAGATAATGAAAGATTTGGAAACAGAAATCTACTAGAAATTTGGAATACATGAGAATACTCATAGAATTAAAAGGCAATAGATAAAAAATAGCACAAACTAAATATAGAGGAAAAGGTAAATAGTAAATACAGAGAGAGTAGTAAAGCCTAGAATAACTTGAAAGAGCTGTATCTACTTTCTTATACAACAGTAACAAATAAGATTTTTAATAAAAATATAATTATAGATATATAACCTTTCAAGACTTTTAACAATGGACCAATGTAAATTAGAGAAATAATGTTGTAGAGTTCAAACTTGAAACTAATGTCAGTGGCTCATATAGGTTGACTCGATTTTCAAAGGACGAAATCGAACTTTCATTAAAGATATATTCGTGACAACGACTTAAGCTAGCCAGGTAAGTGACCTTACTATCGGCATGGTTATATTTGATATTGACACATACCCTGTGGTTCTGCACGTGTCATATATATTGATATGTGTGAATTGTTTGTGGATCGATATGCTTCCTATATGTTATGTATATGTTATAATATGTGAATTGTATGATAATAATTACGGTACGATATCTTTATGGATATGTTTGAGATAGGATATAAGAAGGAGGCACAAAACGAAATGTAACGATAGGAGTAAAATACGTTCATGAAACGTTAAGGTTAGGTTACATACCGAAGTGATATGGATAATAGAGATTGATGAAAGAATATGGTTAGGTTACGGGTATAAAGGGATAGGTTTATGATAGATTGATAGAACGATAGCATTAGGATTGATAGAACGATAGTGTTAGGTTAAGTTCTTATGATGATATGACTAAGGTACGTTCATGTGATGATACGTCTATGATAGGTATAAGAACGTTAAGACGATGATAAGTTAGAGAACGATATGACTACGAAGTGTTTACGTTATGACTTGTTTATGATATGTTACATTGTGATGCAATATGTCATGGTATGATGTGTATATGATGAAATGTTATGTTAAAAGCATAGAACATTATGTTAGGCTTCTTAAATAGTGTGTATACAGTATGATATGAATGACATGAAATTACGATAAATAGCATGAAATATAGCCCCGTTAGAATTATGTATGATTTGAGAACTGAAGAATGAGAAACGATATGATATGAATGATGAGTGATATTTGAAACGATATGAAAAATGATATGATATGTACATAATGTTAGCGGGTTGTATTAAAGGATAATCAAAATGGAAAAGTTTTGGGACCTCATGCATTATGTGTGCTCATGCATTTGGGGGGATACCCCTATTCCATCACAAGGGTACGGACGCGTACATCCAATGGCAGGACAATGATCGTTATGCTTTGCATAGCGCTACCGTGACGGTTACTAGTTCTAGCGAGTGTCCAGCGTAAGGGGCTCCCAGAGTATGCCCACCGTATAAGGAAAGTAGTCCAGCGGAGTGCGAACTAGCTGGTGAGCTCATACTCGCACGTATGGGCTATGTGTAGAGTATATGGTACACGTCCAAAATTACCCATTAGGACAGCACTATAGGAAAAACGGAATGAAAGATAGGTCCCATCATCTCATTGCATGTGATTGTTGCATTTAACCCCAATAGTGGGTCACTTACTGAGTATTTCTTTAAATACTCAAGCTATGTGCTACTACATTTTTCAGGTTAAGGCAAGACATTCATGTGCGACTGACGATGACATCACAACTCGAGACCATGACACATGCATAGGATAGTGGTATTTATTTTCTTAGACTTAGGCTAGAATAGAATGTTTTTAACTTAAACGTTTGTTTATTTTATTTAGTCTTTTGTTGTGTCGTTTTAAAAATGTTATCGAAACACGTCAGACCATGGCTGTGTTTTAAGTTAAAGGTTTTGTTTTATGGAATTTAAATGAAGTCTTCCGCATTCAATGTTTATGGTACGTATACAGTAGCGACCTCAAATTAAGTAGAAAATATCGGGTCGTTACAGTTGATATCAGAGCTCTATGTTATAGATCTTGTAGACTAGCCTACGATGTAGGCTTGGCATGTTCCATGGTTCCACCGTCGATGCCCCGTCTTCGTCAGGTATGTCTTGCGTAAGATAAGAAATTGAAATGTCGTTGATTGTGTATGTTGTTATTGCTTGGTCATTATAAAATATAACTCATAATTGGACATTTACTCTATTGATTGTATTATAATTTACTGCATTCATGTTAGCTTAATTTTATATTTATTATAATTTAGAATACGTTAAGTTTTACCTTGCATGAAATGTAAATGTAAATTGTTGTATTGATGATGTTTAGATTTACTGAGATTGTTGCTCTAAATGAGTAGCTATAGTTCTAGTAAGCTACTAAATGTTAGTGTATGCATGAAAATGATTTTGCTAAGCAAGATCATATGTTTTAGTTAGACGTCTCGAACATAGATAAATTACACAGTCTTATGACCATAGAGATGGGAATGAATGTACCAATGTATACTGAAGAGTAAGTAGTTTCAGATGAAATAAAATGACCTAAGAAGCTTGATAGATGTCAATATCTTATAGTATACTATAGATATTAAAAGTGGTAGTGTCTGAAAGAAAATTTTATAATTTTGAAGTATGTAAAGATGAAATTAAAGTATCAGTAAGCAAAAAAAAAAAAAAAAAAAAAAAAAAAAAAAAAAAAAAAAAAAAAAAAAAAAAAAAAAAAAAAAAAAAAAATTGAGTTAAAGACCATAAAAGTTTAAAACATGTATACTTAAATTGATTGGTGAATGACATAAGTGCCTTTAATGGAAGCTGAGCTTTGGAAGTACTGAGATTAGAAAATTTTACTACCTTAATACGAGTTGAAAATTAAAATAATAATAATAATAATACAAAAAATTATGGAAGTTGTGAGGTGATTTAAAAGTATCGAGCCACAGTTTGGACAAGGCATTACGATCATGGTCAAAATTTAGAGGTATATGGAGAGGAACTACGGTATGAGATTGTCAAGATACCTTTAAATTTAAGAAACCATGATTTAAGATGAACTTGGGTGGGGATACACGAGGATTAGCTTGGGACATTGTCTCTAAATCAACTAGAAGTTTTGTAGTAATCCTCCTTGGAGTACACGAATGCACTTAAGAACCTCAACATAAACAAATTGTTGTAGAAAATTACCGAACAATTTTTCCTAGCAATGTCAACCTAGTTAAAAGGTATTATCATAGTTAAAGTTTCAAGACTATCATTTTAAGTTTGATTTTCAAGTATCCCAAGTTTTATGGCATCTGAGGATATCCACCATGCTTATATAATACTATTTTTTTTTTTTTTTTATAAGAGAATTTTGTTAAGCTCATTCTTGATATTACAAGACATTAAAGGGTGGTGGTGCCTTTTGGTTATGGTTATGGTTATAGGAACATTAGTTTTGGGCTATACTAGATAAGGTATACCAAGAGAAAAGCCTATTTGACAATGTTTCCAATGAAAGTTACCAAATTCTCAAAATCTAGCTTGACTACAAATCAAATATGATAAGTCATTTATAGATCCATATGATTTCTAGTGCATTCAATTTGCATTGGGTTAGGGTGGAGTTTCTAACCAGTTTTATGTCATGATTTTGACTCCAAAAATTTACTAGAATTGAGGCAGGTAGCAAAAGAAAAGAAATATTACAAATTTCTTGATTTTGTGGGAGAATAAGCAAATTTGTATATGGAATTCATCTACAAAGATGAGACCTTAATGAGGAACCAAATCAAGTGGACACTTACAAACAATACAAATTCAAACAATAATGAGGAAAGGAAAACAATTTTTTTTTTTTAATTATTAAAAATATAGAGAACCAACCATTTTAATTGGAAACATTCCTCTATTGAATTTCCTAGGAACTTCTATAGTAAATGGACTATATAGAATTGTGATCAGTCAAATATTGCAAAGCCCCGGTATCTATTACTAGTCAGAATTGGACTATAACGAAATTTCGATCTATACCAGCACCATAATATCTTACTGGGGAGGAAGATTAGAATTAGAGATTGACCGAGAAACAAAGGTATGAGTGCGTGTGAGTAGGAAACAAAAAATATATATTCTAGTTTTATCATCAGCTATGGGTTCAAATTTTAAGAGAAATTCTTGAGAAGGTTTCTACCCTGAAATTTTTCTGTCTTTCTTTAATGATAAGGAGAGAAAAAAAAATTAGATAAAAAAGAAAGTGCAATTTTGGAGTTTTATCAACAATTTTCTTGTGTAGGTGGAGATCCCGTATTTTAAAATGAGATTTTGAGGATGTATGGACAAACAGATCTAGTGAACCTTTAGCTAAGTGTAGAGAATTTGATTTGGAGAATAATGTAAATCAGATACTAGTAAAACTATTGATCTAGTAGATGGAATCATAGTATAAAAAATAAAAATAAAACTTAAAAAAAAAAAAAAAAAGTGAGGAACTATGTGAGTTTTCCAACCTTATTGTACAACATTTATTTCAATGAAGTGTCTGAGCCACAAACTTTAGATGAATTATGTTGTCCATGAAATTTTAGAAAAATATTCAATATGGCATGATAAGGTTATGTATAAAATTTGGTGACCATTAGGTTATGATAACGGGCTAAACCAAGTGTAGGTGTAAAATGACTAAATGCCCCTATAATTACGTACCACTAGTTTATGACCAAAGTGACCTCTAATTGACATGAAATTTGATGAGGAGTCTTATGTCACGGTGTAAAGGGATTACACAAAATTACAAGGCCATTGGAATATGTTGAAGAATTAAACCAAGATTTGGGGGTAAATGACCAAAAAGACTCTTTTGGAGTATGAGTTAAGATTTAAAATACTAACTATATGAGAAGACACCTTATAAGGAATCAAAGATTTTAGGAATACAAAGTGATAGGCTTATGAAAGTTTTATGCATGCAAATAAATGTTTATGACTCATATGAATTAGGGTATACTTGTTAAGAATTTTTACTTAGTGGTACTTGAAGACTTGACAAAGAACTCTTAGAATAACGACCCGAGTTATTCCAAGATTAAAACACTTTCGAGTACAAAAGTTTCTTTGAGAGGTATATAATGTAATAGCCCAAAAATAAATAAAGAAATTAAAAAAAAAAAAAGTTAAAATAATAATAATAATAAATTAATTAATTAATTACAATTAAAAAATTAAAAAAAAAAACATTTCTCAACTTCTCTCCACTAACCTCTAATCCTTCCCACAATTACCTTACTCAGCCCATCCTATGCTAGAAAATGAGCAGTTACTCCAAAAAGAAAAAGAAAAACAATAATGGTCAGATTTACTTAGAGGAAAAAAAAAAAATAATCGCCCTTACCCAGTTAAGAGATCTTATCAATATATATTAAATCTTCATTTTCTTTTATCTTTTTTAGAAATCACAACCAATTATAGTAAAATCTTCATTGAATTATTACAATGGTCTAGTTTTGAGTTAGAAACTAATTATCAATCATTTATACGATTCTAGTAAATCACGTTAGATTAGTAATATTAGATTAAATTTTTATTGGTAGCCAAATGAATAGATTAAGGATAGAATGACCAAGAAAACTTATGTATAGGAAACAGTGAGATAAGGAAAGATTTGGAAATGGATTAAATTTTTATTGGTAGTCAAATGAATAGATTAAGGATTGAATGACAAGAAAACTTCTATAGGATACACTAGAAATTTGGAATACATGAGAACAGAATTAAAAGGCAACAGATAAAAAAAAGACTAGGGAATTAAAAACCGCAAACTAAATAGAGAGGGAAAGGTAAATACAGACTAGTAAAGCCGAGAATAACTTGAAATAGCTATGTCTACTTTCTTATACAACACAAACCATGAAAAATAAGATTTTTAATAAAAATATAATTTTATATATATATATATATATAACATTTCAAGACTTTTAACAATGGACCAATAAAGTACCAATAAAGTAGAGAAATAATATGGTAGAGTTCAAACCTGAAACTAATGTCATGGGCTTATATAGGTTGACTTGGTTTTCAAAGGATGGAATCGAACTTTCATTAAAGATGTATTCGTGACAACGACTTAAGCTAGCCAGGTAAGTGACTTTACTATAGGCATGGTTATATTTGATGTTAACACATGCCCTGTGGTTCTGCACGTGTCATATATATTGATATGTGATATGAACCAAGAGACATCAATCATACAATATGCTTCAAAGAAGATGTGAAGAAAAATGAAGTTTCATGTTTTGAATTTTGGGTGGACTACAATTTAGAGTAATTTAGAGCTATTGTATATCATTAATGTATTTTAAGACTTTTAATTTATTTAAGTTACAATTACATAATGGTTAATTAAGACCATTAAATATGAATGTTACTAACTCTTGGAATGCATTTAGTAGCTTCATTTTGAGGCTATATAAAGCCATCTATGTTGTATTTGTAAGTAGACTTGGAAAATATAGTACAAGAATCATTTGTGCTCTTCTTTAGCCAATGACTAAGTTTCTTTGCAATTTTATGTAGTTTAGGTTGCATGTAGAATCATTCAAGCTCGACATGATCAATCTTGCTTGTGGAGTGATTCGAATCTCAAGCAAGTGTTGTTGCCTTGAGATATTTGGTCAACAAGAATCATTCAAGCTAGACATGATCGATCTTGCTTGTGGAGTGATTCGAATCTCAAACAATGTTTTTGCCTTGAGATTACAAGGTAATCCGAATCTTACTCCCCTTGTAGTGGTTCCTTATGTTATCAATATGTGTGAATTGTCTGTGGATCAATATGCTTCCTATATGTTATGTATACGTTATGATATGTGAATTGTATGATAATAATTACTGTACGATGTGTTCAAGGATATGTTTGAGATAGGATACAAGAAGAATGCACAAAACGAGATGTAATGATAGGAGTAAAATACGTTCATGAAACGTTAAGGTTAGGTTACATACCAGAGTGATATGGATAAGAGAGATTGATGGAAGAATATGGTTAGGTTACGGGTATAAAGGAATAGGTTTGTGATAGATTGATAGAACGATAGCGTTAGGATTGATAGAACAATAGTGTTAGGTTAAGTTCTTGTGATGATATGACTAAGGTACGTTCACGTGATGATATGTCTATGATAGGTATGAGAACGTTAAGGCTATGATAAGTTAGAGAATAATATGACTACGAAGTGTTTACGTTATGACTTGTTTATGATATGTTATATTGTGATGCAATATGTCATGGTATGATGTGTATATGATGAAATGTTATATGTTAAAAACATAGAACGTTATGTTAGGTCTCTTTAAGTTATACTACTCTATATTTACCCTCTATTTACTTTCTCTTATTTAGTGTGTGGTTTTTAATTTCCTAATTTTATTTTTTATCTGTTGCCTTTTAATTCTTTTTTTATTGGTTGTCTTTTAATTCTTTTTTTTATCGGTGGCCTTTTAATTCTTTTTTTTTATCAGTCTTTTCATTNGCTTTTCTCAGCTTTTAATTCCCTAATCTTCTTTTTTTTTTTTTTTATCGGTTAAATTTTTAATTTTGTTATCCCTAATTCTTTCTTTTTTTATACTTTTAATTTTGTTCTTATATATTCCAAATTTCAGGTGGATCTGTGTATCTCCGTCTCTGTTTCCAAATCTTTCCTTATCTCAGTGTCTCCCGAAGTTTTTTTTGGCATTCTATCTTTATCTATTCATTTGGCTACTGATAAAAATTTGATCTAATATTACTAATTTGGAGTGATTTACTAGAATTGTATAAATGATTGACATTTAGTTTCTAAGTCAAATCTAGACCATTGTAATAATTAAATGAAGATCTAATTGGTTGTGATTTCTATAAATAAGATAAAAGGAAATGAGATTTAATATATAATCAGATCTATCTTTAAGGAAATCTTTAGCTGAATCTCAATTGATTAAAGATCATTCTTTTTTTTTTTTCTCAAATAAATCTCACTTGTTTTTCTTTTTCTTTTTGTTGTTACCGGGGTTGATGAGAGATAATTGTGGGAAAAAGTTGTTTTTTTTTTTTTAATTTTAATTAATTTATTATTATTATTTTAAATGGTTAAAGGGACGGTATATAAGAATTTGATACTTACCCCTAAATTTTACGTGAAACGAATTTCCTTCAATTAGGCACGTTCTTGAGGTGCAGAAACTGATTGAGATTTTTCTTGCTCGGCCAATTATCGTATATCCTCGGATTGGATTTTCGAGTTTTCCTTGAAGCTCTTCGAATGCATATTGGATTGGGGGGGAATGGTTTATAGGCACTTTCAGCACTCGATTTCTTCCCAAAACTTGTGCGTAATCTTGTTTAGAAATTGTTGGAACAAGTTTAAAGAGAAATGGTGGAGAATTGCTCTCGAGTTTAAAAGAAATTCGAGAGTAGAAGCACAAAATTTAAACACTTATTGCAGCATTCGATTCTTGTTCTATGCTATTGTCCCAACTTCAAAATTTATAGGGGAAGCTTATACCGACGATGAAACCTCCATTATCATCGAGATTTGGAGATTAAATTTTTTTGGATAATCCTTCAGAAATATCTTGTTCGATAAGCGAGCTAACAACTTCCAATTTGAATTTGGATGTAGTGATTTACAAACATTTTAACTTGTCTCTAATTTTGGAGAAGATCCAATGGCCGGATTTTGAGATTTGATGGATTGTGCAGGAGGTGGCGGTTGAAGTCGTGATTTTGAGCAGAATGACATTTTTCGTAATTATTCATATTTTAAGGGGTATTTTTGTAATTTTTCATTTTTCGAATATTTTAATATTATTTTTCTCGAAATCCATAAGTATTCTAAAAATTCTTCTAGTTGGATTGTTAACCCAACCAAACCCGGTAGATCAGCCGCGACTCCCCCGATACGAAAATAATTATGCATCATTCTCATACCGGTGGCTGCTTCGAATAGATCATATACTAATTCTCTTTCTCTGAAAATATAGAAGAAGGGAGTCTGTGCGCCAATATCCGCCATAAAAGGGCCAAGCCATAACAGATGAGAAGCTATACGACTCAATTCCAACATAATTACTCTGATATAGCTGGCTCTTTTAGGTACTTGAATATTTCCCAACAGTTCTGGACCATTTACAGTTATTGCTTCTGTAAACATAGTAGCTAAATAATCCCAACGTGTTACATAAGGTAGATATTGTATAATTGTTCGGTTTTCTGCAATTTTTTCCATCCCTCTGTGTAAATAACCCAATATTGGTTCACAGTCAATAACATCTTCACCATCCAAAGTAAGGATGAGTCGAAGAACACCGTGCATTGATGGGTGGTGAGGTCCCATATTGACTATCATGAGGTCTTTTCTTGTAGCTGGTCCATTCATAAGTTTTTCCTCGATTCAGCTTTCCATGAATTGCTGAAAATGCAAATAAGTTCATAAAAATTCAAGATCTAATAAATCAAATAATTAAAAATTACTTTTAAAATTACTGAGTTTTTGACTCCCGAATATCCAATTGATTAATTAATTCTTTATAACGCATTTTATTTATCTTTGATAAATAAGAAAGTAATCGTTGGCGTTTTCCGAGAATTTTACGTAGACCTCTTTGAGATAAATAGTCTTTTTTGTGCAATTCCAAATGGGAAGTAAGTCTTCGTATCTTATTGGTGAAACTGACTACTTGAAATTCAACGGATCCTCCATTTTCTTTTTTTTCTTCTTGCGAAATAACTGAGCTGAATGAATTTTTTACCATAAAATGAAATCTCCTCGATTGTCATACAAATTAATCGACGAGTTAGAACGCCGGGAGAAAGAAGAAGAACAAGAAAAAGAAGACGAAGAAGACAAAGACGAAGAAGACGAAGACGAAGAAGACAAAAAAAGACGGCGCAAGATCATCAAAGTTCATGTAAATAAGAATTGGAAGTCACATATAAGTTGAGTGACATCATAGAAACCTTCAAAAGCTTTACAAACACTACAACGTTTTTCCAATCATCAATGGTTGATGCCCTATTCTCTTATTTCGATGATCCCCTTCTTTGAAGTACTCAACAAAATCTAATTCTTCCTCCTCTAATACTTTGAAGGCTTTTTCAAATTTTAAAGCATGATCAAGCATCAAATAAGTAGAATTCCATCGAGTTTCCATATCCAAACAAATTAAGTGTTTTACATTTGATTTTTTTTGTTCAACACAATTTTTAATTTTTGTCAATCTTGTGAGGATGATCTAACATACCTCACCACATTGCGAAAACTAGAAATGGAGTCATGCATTCTTTAATCCCTTCATTCACAATCAAGTTAATTATGTGAACACACCACCTCATATATAATATTTCTCGATCTAACACAAGTGAATTCTAACTCCTAAGTCTTCTCTTGATATAAGAAATAACTACATCATTGGAACTTCGCATTATCAATTGTGATAGAGAAAACTTTATTGATTCATTCCAATAAACAACTCAATAATCTTGTCAATAGTCTCTCCCTTGTGGTTAGCAACTTGGCAAAAGTTGAGAATTCTTTGATGCAAATTCCATTCAGAATCAATAAAGTGGACAGTGATTACCATGTAGTTAATGTTTTGCAAGGAAATTAAAGTATCAATGGTAAGGAAAACCTTATTAGAATGATTAACTAAAAAATATTTTAACTTCTTTTTTTCTTCCGGATAAAGTTGAAATATATCTCTAGCAATCGTTACTCTTGACAAAGGTTTGAACTTAGGACATGTGGTACGATAAAACAACCTGAAACCCTCATCCTCTATGAATTTAAATGACAATTTGTCCATAATTATCATCTTGTCACATGCTGCTCTACATGTTGTTTGACTAAATAATGAAGTGAAAATATCACTACCCTTTCCCATCTATTGAATGTTGAAAACTTAAGTGTTTCTATAAGGTGCTAGTTCCACTGAAATTAGTATCACAAGCATACTCCTTCCAAGCATACTCCTTAAACCCTCATAGTTGCACTTGTTATTATCGTTTTCTAATATTGTAAAATGATGACACACTGTTGATTTACTAGGCTTCTTAAATTTAGATTGTGCATAAGTGGTGGCTAAGATGCATTATAATTACTAGAGCCAAAGAGTTCCACATCCACTCCACTATTGTTTTCCATCTATAAAAAGTAAAATAAAACTAATATTATTCATTCAACTCAAAAAAATAAAGATAACATAAATTTTTTTTAGACCATCAACCCACAAAATATTTTAGAATTGGAAGCCTTTGATATATTATCTAGTATAACATAAAAGTAGACACATTTATAAAGAACCTTTAGTCCAAAAAAAACATGCCACATAACCAACTCTCTATCAAAAAAAAAAAAAAAAAATCACATATATCTTGAGGATTGACTTCCTACTAACAAATTACCCTGTCTTTGAGTTCAATGAAAGAAAGAAGAAATAGGCGGCAGAGGTGAATGAGTTTACTTTACTGTGTTTTCAGGGTCAGGAAAGAAAAGAGAAAGAGAAGTAGCGAACTTTACAGTCTTTGCAAGAAGGCAGAGGTGAATGAGTTCAGTTCGGAAACTATCATGAATCGAGAGTGGTTACAGTGTGAATAAATAGGATAATTAAGAGGAAAGGTACGAAGCCAGCAGTGAGACTCTAACGAAGAGGATTGAATGAATTTACTAGACTCTAAAGGAAAGGAGCGAAGCCACCTTGTTTACTGTGTA